CACCGCAGGGAGTTGAGAAAGATATTGGCTGATTGCAATGGCTCTATAACCACGGATAATAATTTGTGAAACGCTTTGATACGACCTACGAACTAGGTTCTGATAAAGCTGTATATAAGAACCTCGAATTATTATTATTATTATTCTTAAGAAAGGACCCTATGAGTTTTGTACATTGCCATAGCCACAATCATCTTGTTGCGGGACCGACATGCCTCTCCACGGTTTATAAAAGAAAATTAAGCTCCGCATGACCAAGTTATATGAATGAATATTATATTAGATAATATGTTATTTCGTAGAATTTCGTTAGATCGATAAAGTAATTGGCATGTTAAAAGTACGAGGCCTATTTTTATGGAAACATCAGACTATATAGCTTATTATTGGCTAAATAAACCTTATGGGAAATTTTGATTAGTAATGTACAAGTTCAGTTGATTCAAATTATATTTGTGAATTCCGATTTTAATTGCGGTATTTGATTATGATTTACTGTATCAGGGGTTAAAATTAAGAGTGACTATAGCCTTGTGCGGGGGCTTATCGAACCTTCGAGATGCCTCGACAACAATAGTCACATTTGGCCTAGATAAATGTTTAACCGCGTCATGACAGTCCCCTCAGGAACAACCAAAGCAGCAGTTGAACATGTTATGTAAATAACAACATCTGACAGACAACATTTATCATGCTATTACCAGCTACAACCCTTCGTCAATTTTATGAGTATCGTAAACTTGTCAATTAACGAGCATCTTACTCACTTAACTCATTCACCCCTGAAACTTTATAATGGACTATTCAAACCTTGGAATGGAAGAGTTAAAATGCGTCTTCAGGGGTGCATGAGTTAAGACGTAAACGTTCACATCCTTTCTGCTCTATGGTAAAATACACGACAACTTTCGATTTAACAAACGTTTATATGATTAAGTCAATGTTACGTAACGAACTGTTCTCCACTGAGAAATTTAGGCTACCGAACAAGTGTTTGTGAATTCAATAATCATAAAATTCAAACGTTTGTTTAGACCTACCAAACACTGGTATTTGATATTTTATTGAAGGATTTCGGTAAAATCATTTTGATTACAATTCCATGTCACTTTTAAAAAGTATCAAATGCATATTATTCAATACTTTTTCATCTGTTTGACAGCAATGTTTTGCATTTAAATAATGCTGTCAATGTCAACCATGGTACGTATACAACAGCAGGTGTGTACATGTATCAACAATGGTACGTATACAACAACAGGTGTGTACATTGACAGCAATGTTTTGCATTTAAATAATGCTGTCAATGTCGACCATGGTACGTATACAACAGCAGGTGTGTACACGTATCAACCATGGTACGTATACAACAGCAGGTGCGTACATGTATCAACCATGGTACGTATACAACACCAGGTGTGTACATGTATCAACCATGGTACGTATATAACAACAGGTGTGTACATGTATCAACCATGGAACGTATATAACAACAGGTGTGTACATGTATCAACCATGGAACGTATATAACAACAGGTGTGTACATGTATCAACCATGGTACCTATACAACAGCAGGTGTGTACATGTATCAACAATGGTACGTATACAACAACAGGTGTGTACATGTATAAACCATGGTACGTATACAACAACAGGTGTGTTCATGTATCAACCATGGTACGTATACAACAGCAGGTGCGTACATGTATCAACCATGGTACGTATACAACAAAAGGTGTGTACATGTCTCAACCATGGTACGTATACAACAACAGGTGTGCACATGTATCAAACATGGTACGTATACAACAACAGGAGTGTACATGTATCAACCATGGTACGTATACACCAACAGGTGTGTACATGTATCAACCATGGTACGCATACAACAACAGGTGTGTACATGTATCAACCGTGATACGTATACAACAACAGGTGTGTACATGTATAAACCATGGTACGTATACAACAACAGGTGTGTACATGTATAAACCATGGTACGTATACAACAACAGGTGTGTTCATGTATCAACCATGATACGTATACAACAGCAGGTGTGTACATGGATCAACCATGGGAGGTATACAACAACAGGGGTGTACATGTATCAACCATGATACGTATACAGCAGCAGGTGTGTACATGTATCAACCATGGTACGTATGCAACAACAGGTGTGTACATGTATCAACCATGATACGTATACAACATCAGGTGTGTACATGTATCAACCATGGTACGTATAAAACAACAGGTGTGTACATGTATCAACCATGGTACGTATACAACAACAGGTGCGAACATGTATCAACAATGGTCTAACAAATGTATGGACACATGAACTGCAACACCTAAAGTCTATACAACAGTATGGATGTATGGCGTTAATGGTGATCTTACATCTTCTGTGCATGTCCTGGTTAATGGCAATATAAATATTTATTAAGCTGGATAGTGCTTAACTCCACCATCCCCGATTGGCCTTGATTTTATTACATATCATATTCGGTAGAATTCAATGTAACAGTATATCACACCTTACATTTTACTTTAAAGGGGAATCTGTATGGTGTTAAAGTTATCTGCATGTTGAGAGGCCTCTTTTTTACAACATCAATAAAAAATGATAGTATTAGTGCATCAATAGTTCCTCAATTCCATATACTAGGTTTATATAGATAATGACATTTCTAAATTCACTTTAGATGTGGGTTTTAATTCTGGGACGAAATGACGAAAGGACGAAATGACGAAAGGACGAAATGACGAAAGAACGAAATGACGAAAGAACGAATGACGAAAGAACGAAATGACGAGAGAACGAAATGACGAAAGGACGAAATGACCATACGGCGAAGCAGTAAGGTTTTTTTTGTCTGTTTGGATTGACTTAATACATTAAAAAATAGACGTTTACTTCTTTGTATTTCATGTGAAAATTTTATATCCGACGGTAGCTGACTTTGCTTAATGTCCCCGAGTCTGGCCGTAAGGCACGGTAAACAAGAAATTATATTTTCAGTATAAATTATCCGTAGTTTCTCCAAAGATGTAAATTTTAAACGTTATACAAGGTTTTACTGGCACTTTTCCCTCGTATTTCTACATGTTTTGGTCCAGTTAAGATATGGTTTACGCCTTTAGTACCGTTAATGTGTGGACGAAATGACCATAAGGTGCTGTTAAAATGTTGACTTTGTTCGGCTCTCTGCATGTATCGACATACTATACTCTGTTTTATACGTCTAAGTATTTCTATTGATTTAAAATAAAGGTGTAATTTAAATAGAGAAATAACTATATGGCATTATGATATGAGTACTGAAAGGGATCATATTTTAAATTACCACTTAAGATAACTTATAGTTATTGATATCTGCCCTATAGACCATACGTCTGTATCACAGGGACCTGCGAATTGGTTACATCTCACAGGGACCTGATAATTGGTTACAGCTATATTTGGACCTAAACTAAGGTGTTTAGAGTAATTTTAAACATTTTATGGTTTTGGGTCAGTTTTCGGTAAATGACCTAATGATGATGATGATAACATCTCAGGTCCCTGTGGTCTGTATATTATATCACATCAAACTCACGCCGTGTTTTGATCTAATATAACACGCAGTCTGGTTATCGTACGATTTCGTCATGACCAACTAACTACGTCCTGCTAAGTATTCAAATAACATGTGCCTTTGACACTAAAACTGTACGCCAATCTCTTCCTAACCGTTTCAATTTCACCAATATATATAAGACCGGTCCTCATTAAGGACATGGCGTCGCTCCACATTCGTGGTTGTCAACGGTTACAAGAACTGTCCTCTATCGGATGTAATGACACAAATGCTTCCATTCCTCTGTCGTAACCTACACAGATCACCAGTGTCCGAATGGTGCGGGCGGCTCCTTAGCCAGATCAATCGCTCATTCCTTTTGACCTCCTCGACAAAATGCCTAGTTTCCCGGAGACGCTGTAACCTATACCGTGACGTAACTGACCGGCCTATTTGTAAGCCACATATTGTTGTTGCCTAGAAAGTCTTGTAATGGAAAAAAACATGTACAGTGTACTTATAAAACAACGAATCAACATATCAACTAAAAAATTTTCATTCCCTAGTCCTGTAGGTAGACTTACTATGATAGTCAGTAGTGTTTGTGGTAATGTAAGGATTCGAAGTACTCTGGACTCGAGATTAGCTCCGACCTTCTTGATACTGTCTCATCATGACTTTCTTTACATATGTTTGACTCAAAGAATGAATAGTTAGTATCTCAGAAGTACAGGGTATATTTCGGCATGGGCGAGGAAAGACAAATGATCCGAGCTTAGCGATATATCAGCGTCTTGACTGACTCGGCACATTGTGGCGTAGTTAATTGTGTTCAGCGGTTTAGATTAGAGACACTTGTCATGCACCCTTTGCTGTACTTTTTCGAAAGTGAAGAATCTCATTCCGGATATCAACAAAAATAAAAATGACAAAAGTCAAACATCTGGACATATTTACACTATTCGCTGATTGTGTCTGTAGCTGTGTATGTATCTTTATTTGAGATCGTATCAAAGCTGCAATGTGTATATGTAGGTTCAGTGAAAACTGTAGTTACATATTGATGCCTAAAATTTGGAGTTATCTCCCCTACACCACTGAGACCTAGCACTTTCAAGAATAGACTGGACAAAATATGGAAAAATCAGGAAATACTCTATAATTATAAGGCAACCATAGATGGAAGTGAACTCTAATAGTTAAACATGAGAACATATTACATGTATAATAGAGTCCGGTGTAGAGGAACATATTGTTCCTGTACTGGAAAATAACTATAACTATAACTATAACTATGTTTTTAACTTCTACTCTTCCTACCGTCCCGAATAGCTTTGTTGAAATGATAATATGTAACATAAAATATAATAAGACTCACGTCACCAACTAAGAAAACATTAGACAATGGAAACAAGAAACAGGAGAAACAAATGTGAACTTTAATATCGAAACCAATCGTATTGTAAATTAATATTACACTTTAAACCTACATAATAAAAATGTATAAATTACATCTAAAAATATAAATTTAAAGGTTACAACAAATGAAGGGAAGGTTCGGAACACATTCAAAAACTACAATTCAGAGTCCATGGTACTGATGTAAGTACAATGGAGAAAATGTATTCGTGATGTTGATAATAATATAAGAATGTGATATAGCAAAGATAGAATTCACCACATAAATAATTTAACCATACGAAATATCTACATGATATAAAATCAATTGTTTCTTATGTTACCACGAATAATAGAAAGCTTTAAGATATGAAGTAGTTTTAAATCAATAATGTGAGATATGGGGATAGATGGACCCTAGTGACAATGGTTAGCAACATGGATGTAGAGGTCACAGCTTGTGATGTTTACGAGAGCAGAAATGGTAAAACAATTAAGTTTGTCTAATTTTAGAACCAATCCGTTCATTTATATAGACAACAACACGACGTAGTTACATATCACAAAAGATAACACTGAAAAGAAATGTTCGGATTCGCCGACAGTTTTGTCCTATGTCTGTTCCTGTGATTACCGTTGTAATATTCAACGAAACCGCTTCTAAAAAAACACAATCCATCTCTGACGCCATTTTGAAATTTTAATGACATCCGGGGCATGCACAAAGTTGCAAAGTTTTTGCCGTTATGTGGATTTTTGCCATTTTGTTTAAGTTTTTTTCACTGTTGTTATCACTTCTCTGTTTATAAATCTATTTGAATATAATAGGCATCCAACGAACATGTGTTTGTTCTGATGCAGTGTCCATATAGGACTGGGTGGAGGAGTACTATGCCTCCAAAACGAACACGTATATATTACACACAAAACCAAAAAAAAAAAAAAAAAAAATCGATATCGACTATATCATGACAAATAAAGCAAAATAAGAAGCCCTACTAGTGAAAATACAAATATAGGTCAAGCAAGGGACGGATGATATGCGATGATGTAAATTATATCCGGCTCCAACTCTCCCAAATAAATTTGTATTGAAATGTAAGTCTATGTGTTTTCCTTAATAGTTCCTGGTACCAGCAGTACCTCTGGACGGAGTAACATATCCCCTGCGTATTATGTGGCTGGAACTGGATATTCCGGAAGTGTCGTATATAGTCGGTGGAGAGGAGAAGGTCCAGTACAGCGTACTCGCACCCCTCACAGTTCAGTGTTATTAAGTCAACGTCATTCTTCCTCACCGACATCTTTTCAAAAAAAATTGTGGCATTCACAATCCTTGACTCTGTGTTGTTTTTATTTTGTTCTTTGTCAAAAATTGATGCCGCATCATTATTTTCGTCGTTCATATAAAACACGCCATCACTAACGTCAATTCCAAAATTATAAACTACAACGTTCGGCGAGGAAACGAATTTCTTGGTCAACACATGGAAAAACTTTTTAACAGGTTCCAACACGACGTAAGTTCCGGGTTGATACCTCGAGTTGAGTTCTTGGACATCCAAGCCGTTATGACCTCCCGCCTCAATGACGAAACTACTCTTGTTCAGATACCGATGGCTCGACCAACGTATAGACGGATCATGTATTGCTAAATCGAGTTCCCGTTTTTTGTCCGACTCGAAATTTAAAACACAAGTATTCACTCTCGCAGTTTGCTTTGCTGTCATGGTACCACCAAAGTCTGTGTATGTATTATTGGACGCACACCTCCGCCTGGGATATCGTGGAATGTAACCCGGATGTTTATTGTCTTGACAGTCACTAAAATCAGGGTCAGTGTAGCTTCGGCCACTTGTGATTCGGTCGACGTCCGCCTTGTCCACAGTTGGACATGTAGGTGTAACCATGGTAGGGACTGTATAGAAGAGGTTCTGGACCAGAAGACAAAGGACAAAGCCAAACACTGCTGATATCACTGTATTCATGCTCGTTCTTTTCTGAAACATATAATAGATGGTTGAATTAGTCGACATAATTTGAATTTGAAATTAAAGGTGATACTTTTAGCAAAGAACATATGCAGCTGTATAAAAAGAAACGATAAATCGAACCCTAAGGAAACACGAGCTTGTTAAGCTATAACTAAAATGTGTAAACAAGTTTGACATGCATGATATTTCGTAAAATCCGTGCCAGCATAAATTCAAGCTATAAAACTGCGACCAACTTAATAACAATAATAATAATAATAATAGTCTTTATTTAAACTTCATTACATATTGAGTCAAAGACTCGTCTCCCATATGGTCAAGCATATTAAAAAATGTACATTATATACTTCGGCCTAACTATGACGTCAATAATTAGAGTCTACTTCCAATGGTCTTATTTGTTAACACTAATATCAAATATCAAATCAAATGTGTTGAAGTATAGTGTTGCTGTTATATGAGATATTTGTGTTTGGTATGAAATTTATTTAAACATCAGGAAATAGGAAAAAATACATATGCAAATTTCATACGAACAAAATGATTTAAAAACAGAACATGACCAGGATATTGTTTAGACATAGTACAACATATGTGCTTAAGGTGGCTCCACACATCGTCATCAGCGTCCATTTTCGTAACGTACTTCCGGAAAAAGTACAGCTCGGACTCAATTATCTTGATCGAAATGTGCATGTACACCGTGTCGTCATTTCCGCATTGCGTATCGGGCATTCAATATCGTAGTGCAAATTATAGTTCCACCTGGGCCCTTTTCGTTTAAACGGTCAAACCGATCGGACCACTGTTGTTCGTTTATTAAATAAGGTGGGACCTAGTAATCTGATGCTGCTTTCAGGCGAGCCTTGAGAAAGCCTTGCAAGGCCTGCATACACATTTGCAGGTCCGCCAGGATTTATACTCGAAATTGTTACATTTATAAACGGTCAAACCGTTTGCTCCGCATAAACGAACAGGCCCCTGGTAAACAATAGTACACGTGCGTGCCGATGATATGTCAACACTCGATATCGAGATTTTACCGGGAAATGTATAATCAAACGTACTTTAGGAATAAAGCTTTCCAATTCATAGACATAAACAGACTCACGGGTAGACAGTGACATGGTACCAAACGACCTCAAGAAGGTTATATAGGAAACGCATGGAATGCGGACGTACCGACCTCACATGTGCATATCGCGTGCTTACACGAGTTCATAAGCTCGAGGTCGTTACGATTTTCGCTGTTACAATCGTGTTTACAAATGAAATCTTCTTACTCTGTGAAAATAATGTTTTGTAAAATATCAAGATACCTTTGAAATGCATGTGTGAGTGCACGTGAGAACGGCATAACATGCGATAGCCTCTGGTCACATATGTACCTGACATGTAATTATAAATATACCGTGAGTTAGCGGACTGTGGAATGATGTCCAAAGTGTATACATGACTGAGGGTAATTTGGTTCCATTAAAGAACAATAAATTGATAATTTGGATATCATATTTTTGATTTATTTCCAGCATTTTTGTTATATGTAAACAGAGTCAACTGTCTTTGTGTAAATGTCACCCCTCTGCAAAAAGTTCCGATTGTTTTCAAGGAAGATAACTCTCACCCAGATAGAAGTGATTGTAAAATGTAAAATAAATTAATTATAAAGCCATTGTGTATATTTTGTTCAATTTCCCATTCTCTATGTATAGATCGTTGTGTCCTGTTTGCTTTTAGCTTGTAGATAATCACTTTTATCCGTACAAATTCAATAAAAAACACTTTGTGTAACATGTGTTACCTATTTTGTGATAAATAAAATATTTGTAGGGTTAATTAGAAATGCTTCTTTTCATTTTATTTTTGTTGTCATTGTTCCGAACAATGCCACACACACAAAAAAACGGAAAATATTAAAATTGACGAAAATTCAATTGTTTGGTATTTTTTCCAAAAAAGTCCCCAAACTATCGGAATGTTTAGATTTTCATAAAATCAACTCTACGTAGTTGCATAACCATTATATGAAAGTTTCAACGAATTCGTCCACATATCATCATCATCATCATCATCATCATCATCATCATCATCATCATCATCATCATCATCATCATCATCATCATCCTTATATCAGCATCATTCATACATCATCATCATCATCATCATCATCATCATCATCATCATCATCATCATCATCATATAATCATCACTATATTCGTCCATATATCATCATCATCATCATCATCATCATCATCATCATCATCCATATATCATCATCATCATCATCATCATCATCATCCATATATCATCATCATCATCATCATCATCATCCATATATCATCATCATCATCATCATCATCTGAAATATATGACAACCTTTAACAATGATAAGTCACCTGCTTACCACAGAGTTCCAATATATAGGAAAAGCTCTTACAAGTAGAAAACAGGCTTAAGAGAGAAGTTTAGAGATACGAAGGAGATATGTTAGAAATAGTCAGACGAAACAACCCTAGACAATTCTATAAATATTTTGGTAAAAGAAAAATCCCTGTTTCTGCTGCTTCATCAAATATTGTCTTTGATGATTTTTTATCTCACTTTAAAAATCTTAATATCGGACAATCTGAAAGTATCGAAAATATTATAGAAGAAAAGTGTGAGGCAGGTTATGAGGAGTTAGATAAAACTATAACAGAAGATGAAATTGTAGTTGCAATCAGAAAATTAAAGGGAAACAAAAGCTGTGGTGAAGACAAAACCCTAAATGAGCTATTTTTAGATTGTAAAAATGAACTTTTATCATGTATAACTAAAATTTTCAATAATGGTTTCAAATCTGGGTATTTTCCAGAAGCCTGGTCCAAAGCATGTGTTATTCCAATACATAAAAAGGGAGATATTGATGACCCTATCAACTACAGAGGCAGTTCTTTATTTAGCTGTTTGAGCAAATTATTTACTGGAGTGTCAAATCAGAGGCTACTTAAGGAGGCTCCACCCTTTCGCAATTAGCCAGCAGAATTCAACGAAAGTTTCACATAATGGTTTTGTCACTATGTAGAGATGATTTTATAAAAATCTAAGCATTCCGATAAACTGGGATTTTTTTGTGTAAAAAATACCGATTTTTTTTTTTGTCAAATTCAACACTTTCACATTTTTTGAGCGTATGGCATTGTTCAAAACTATTGCAACAATAAAATAATGAAAAGAAACATTGATAATCAACCCTACACATATTTTATTTATCGTACAATATCTACAACATGTTACAAAAAGCGTTTTTTATTGAAATTGTATGGATAACAGTTACTAAATACAAGCTAAAAGCGAACAGGACACATAGTTTCATACAAAAATACTAAAAAATTGAACCAAATACAAACAAAGTCTATTTGTTTATTTTAAATTTTACAATAATTTTGATCCTGATGAGAGTTGTCTACCTTGAATAAAACCGGAACTTTTTGCAGAGGGATAGAATTTATACAATGACACTTATTTTCTTTGCTATACCAAAAACGACGGAAATAAATTAAATTACTATATCTAATTGTCAATTTACTGTTCTTTTATGGAACAAAATTACTCTCAATCATGTACACTTTGGACGTCATTCCAAAGCCCGCTTACGCATGGTATATTGTAACGCACCAAGGTTTTGGGGCGTTGCGTTCCGTCTAATTCACCGACCAGCGAGAATCCTTAAAATTATATCGGCCGCTACCGGAAATAATCAAGGGGGCTTCTGGGATAAAGCACTTTTGTTCCCGACTTCAGCCAGGTAAGCAGCACTTTTTCAGCTGTCTAAATCCAATGATTTAATTACTCTATGTCGCCCATCCTTCCAGAATCCGGGGTTGTAAACATTTACTGAACATTTATTGTTAGGTCCTCGGTAGTATTTTTGTACTATGGCGTTAGTTTAATAGGGAAATAGCGAGGTGAACTTAGAGATATTTTTGCGGGAGACATGCCGGTCGTCATACCGTTTGAAGGAGAGATGTTATGCATTCTCCGCCCTTTATGTTCTGGACATGCCGTGGTTGTGTCTATGAGCGGTAGGCTCCTCTAGCCCACATGAAGGCGTGTGGCGGAATGTAGAAGGGTTAACGGAAAAGCTATTGAGCGGAAGTGATAGCCGCATGTCCTCGTGCACGTGTTTGAGTTATCTCGAGGAGGGCTTTAGGATATAGAGCGAGTAAGAGTTATAGACAGGGTCATGTTGTACTGCATATTTCACTAAATTATAGTGAAACTTGGAAGATCACCGGCCGTATTGCACGTGTTTGAGTTATCTCGTGGAGGGCTTTAGGACTAGTGATAAGGTAGCTTGCTCGAATATAGAGCGAGTACGAGTTATAGACAGGGTCATGTTGTACTGAATATTTCACTAAATTGTAGTGAAACTTAGAAACCCACCTGCCGCCACGTGTCTTGTTATACTGTTAAGTTTGAATGTACAATAAACGTGCGAAATCTATATCTGCCTAAGTTGTTTGTGTCACCGATCTCTGCTTCCTAAATACTATTTCATACTTTATTTACAATCCATCGAACCTGCAAGCGAAAGCGGCAGTCGAACCTGAGTGTGTAGGTAACGTTTCGTTACAATTGGCGCCCACGTAGGGACCCAGTTCGTTACAATATCAACATGTCAGGTACATATGTAACCATAGGCTATCGCATGGTATGCCGTTTTTACCTGCACGCACATGCACGTGCATTTCATAGGGATCTTGATATTTTACAAGCCACTATTTTCACAGAGTTATTGTAATTGCATTTGTAAACCAATTTCTCTGACAGACCGTAACTCGCTCGACAACAAAAGTCGTAGCGACCAAGAGCTTGTGAACCACTGTTAGCACATGATACGTACAGGTGAGGTCGGTAAACAAAACACCTCAGTCTGCATTCCATGCGCCTCATATACGACATTCTTGAAGTCGTCTGATCGTATCTCAGTGTTTTCCCGTGAGTTAATTAATGTCTTTGTATCA